CCTTATACCAGCAAAAACCCTGACAGGCACAAAACTTCCACTCATAATCTACTTGCATGGAGGTGACTTTGTTCTGTATAGTGCATCAACTGTCGTTTATCATGAATTCTGCAACAATTTGGCCATCCTGTTCCCGGCAGTGGTAGCCTCCGTTGAATATCGGCTGGCCCCTGAAAACCGCCTCCCTGCAGCTTATGACGATGCCCTGAATGCTATCTTCTGGGCTAAAAACCAGGCACTGAAAGTCGGAGGTCGTGATCCATGGTTAGAGTATGCTGATTTTTCTAGGGTTTTCATTATGGGCAGCAGTGCAGGTGCCAACATAGCTTACCATGTAGCCCTACGTGCACTGGATTTTGATCTTGGACCACTAAAAATAATAGGACTGCTAATGAACCAGCCATTTCTTGGTGGACTTCAAAGGACTCAGTCAGAGCTTAGGCTAGAAGAGGATAAATATGTGCCTCTGTATGTATGTGATGTATTGTGGTCATTGGCATTGCCACAAGGTACCAATCGAGATCATGAATATTGTAATCCAATAAATGGTGGGAATTACCTCGGAATAGTCCAACGTTTGCCAAGATGCTTCGTGAAATCTGATATAGGAGATCCAATGGTTGATCGGTCAATGCAGTTAGTACAATTGTTGCAGTCAAATGGAGTGCAAGTAATTTATCAGTTCAATCGAGAAGGCTATCACGGTAAGGAACTACTAGATAAGACAGCCGCTAAAAATTTGTATGATGATATGAAGGATTTCGTCTACTCTACTAAACCAGCTGAAAATTAAAATGGATGTTGTCATGGTTCCAAGCAACGCTTTTGAGTCTCCAAGGTTAATGTTCAGTTCTTCTTGAATTCTAATAAAATTTCACATGTCGACTGATTTCTGCTGCATCTGTTATTGGAGCTAGATTGGCAGTGGCGCTTGCTTCTAATATTGGACCTGGAGTTGGTCAAGGGACTGTTGTGGATCAAGCCGTAGAGGGTATCGTGAGACAGCCACAAGCTTCTAAAAAGAAGAAAAATCTACGTCTCTCTTTTTTTCCTTATGTCGCCTCTTTATTGGTCAAAAACGTTTAGGGATATATCTGAAAAATATTACGACTGCTCTGTGTTCTATGGAGTTGTTATGTTGGCTATATGTATGAACTATGATCAATTTTTGTTATTGTTGAAATATACGAAAAAATATATTGAATTAAGATAGTGTTAAGTAATATTGTTATGTTTTTAACGCTTCTTTAGTTTTATATTTGTTTGTTCCAGCTTTTGCATTATGTTAATGCTTATGATACCTAATCTTCTTACATAATCAACAACTCCACTGACGTAGTGTCTTGCGATATTTTTTTGGAATGAAAGGGACTCCAAATTTAGTTTGTTATTAGAACAATAATATCGGATTAAACAAATATTAAGTGGTAACATAAATATGAACAATAATTATTCTGAATGTATTTCGAACAACGAACTTTGGATATGTTGAACCAAGAAATACACTTCACGAATTTTGTTACATCAGGCGAAGTGAAGGCAGTTCATGAAAGGAATGAAGGCCTAAGAAGTGCGTTTAAGTAGGTGAGCCTACCCCCATCTACTCTATCTCTAGACTGGCAACTAAGGGTACCTTGGATTATAAATAAAGCGTGATTCTTAACCCAATCAATTATGAGATAACAAATAAGGAGCCATCATTGATCATTCTCCCAAAATGACATGCAATTCAAAGATTTACCGCCAAATAGATATTTTCTTTTTTGTTCTATTTTGAGTATCAAAATTAGTGAGTTTAGGAAGTGAAAATCACAGCTAGGTGAGTATGATTTTTTTATCAAATTTCTATCATCAATAAATTGCATCCGTCTGTAGGAAACTTGAAACAAAGTAGACCACAAATTTCCATGCCTTAGCTGAGGAATACATGAGAACTAAAGAAATGCAACATAGAAGGAAAGGTAAACAAGCCAC